TCCTTCCTTAATACATTTCAGATCCATCATGATCATCACCACCTTAGCCTGGGCCTCAGAAGTTTTGACTGAACTGACATTTCTCCACAAGCCTTAGTCTTTGTGGGAAGACTTAACCCACTGCCTGCCATTGACAGTACTCACAAAATAGTTGTTTGAGTAGCTCTCTTCAGCATAAAACAAGAAGCCCTATCTCACAAGATACAGACAGTATGGTACAGTGAAGCTGGAACCTGGTGGGTTCTTAGCATATATCTGATAAGCATATAATGAATACTACCCACTCTTGGATAATGCATTCTTTCCAGCAAACAGTTGACCACCTACTATGACTCAATCGTAGAATTTAAATGAGCCCCCAAAATGTTCAGGTTATGTTTTTCTGACAAAAGATCATGCACATCTTTTGTCTCTAAGGAACTTGCAAGACAATGCAGGTAGGAACACTGGAAAGAGAATTGGTTTTAAGTCATAGACCTCAATTTGAATTCCACTTTTGGTGTTTGTTTTCTAAGTATAAAAGCTAGTATGTTCTTGAATAAAAAATAACACATTAAAAAGCAAAGTCTCAATTTGCCTGGAACAGTTTTTGCTTCCAGCCTGTAAACCAGAACTCTGAAGTACTCTGTAGCACGTAGTACTTAGCTGCAACAACTATGTGGCTCTTGAACATTAAAAACACATCGGACTCAACCTTCCATGGTTAGCATTCCAGGAGAATCTGCAACAGATGACAGCAGGCAAGTTCCAATCTTTGCTCTCATGTATATCAGCAGAACATGTCAAAACCTAAATTAAAAGTTTTCACTTGCTTATAAAAAAAAGTCCTTTGGTTGGCAGTGTCCCACTGATGACATGCAACAATCTTTGCATATGAAATCGGCTAGTCCCCTGCTTTGCTGCTAACTTTGTATAAGTTCCAAAGCATTTCTGGAGCAAGTGATCTATTTGGACTGACAATGCCAAGCTGGGACCTGAGCCCTGAATGAGCTAAAATTACCAAAGCAAGAAGAACGTGGCGTTGGAAGCTATTTTCCCTTAAGTGTAGGGTTTCTTGCAGTCGAGGGAGTGATAAAGAATGTTGACTTTTTCCAGATGAACGAAGTTTAATGAAACCTTAACATCCCACTAAAAGTTCCTGTTCAGATAAGCAAAATGCAGCTACAGTGGTTCCTATCCTATCCCCTCTACTTCCTCTCCCCAAACATAGAAAATGCACTTGTCTTCCCGAAGTGCAGGGGTTCAACATGGCCGGAGCAGTGTGGACTGCGTGCTGGGCTCTGCAATGCAGAGACAAGGAAGTCAGGCCCCTGTCCTGGAGGAGTCGGCTGTCTAGAAGAAAGAGAGGCACACTACCAACTGACAGCCAGAAAATCCATACACAAGAAAGAAGCAAAGTGAGAAGAGTTCTGAGGAGGAACAGAGGGAGGAACAGAGAATGCCTCCGAGGCAGGGTGCTCCCAGTGTACTTTCCCATAGCCCTCAGAGTGCAGGACTCTGCCTTCCCTACGGGAAGGTAAGCTCCACTTAGGCAGAGGTCTCATTTCAGACAAGGATTAATCCATCCCAGCTGGCTCAAAGGAGTGCACAAAGCTGTGTTCACAGAATAGCAAGAAACACCACAGGTCTAGGCAAAGGGGAAGGGCGGGTGAGGTGGTCTATGAGGTTATGAATGCCAGGATGAGAAGCTGAAGCTTTACTCAGCAGGCAATAGGGAGCTAAAGAAGGTCCTAAGGAGAGCAGTCAATTGACAAGTAGTGTTTTAGAATATTATTCTGACAGCAATATGGAAAATAGGCTAGAGAAAAGAGATCAATTAGAAAGCTTCTTCACTAGCTCAGATGAATAAGAGCTGAGAAGGCCCGAGTGACTGCAGTGTTAGTGGAGCTGGAGAAGAGTAACTTACCTACAGATCTACCTGAAACTGTCCCCTTCTCTGTGTTCTCCCAGCGTCTGGCTTTTTCCTGTTTGGCATTTTTGTTGGGGCCTCCACATTACACACTCCCTGAGGACAGTGCCCATTTGTTCTTCATTATTGTGCCCTCCACAGAAAGCACAGGGCGGTAAAAATGATCCTTGCCTTCCCTTGGTCATGCTGTCGATTCACTCACAGCGCCTCAGATTTGGTGGACTGGTGGACTGACTTACTAGAGCACTGGGCCTGGCCTACAGGAAGCAGAGAGGGGACGCTTGGCCACAAAGGAGCATTAATAATATAATATGGGTACCCAGAGAGAATGATACAGAATTTAGAACTTTAAGCCTAGAAGCACGAGTTTGGGCCCCTAAGGTACACAAAGTGTAATACCACAAGTGGGCTGGGGTGCAATTAGATTATGGTAAGCTCTCTAAGCAGGTACTTCTCACTTTCACAACCTGCTTGCCAAATAAATGTGAGTAAGGAGAAGACCACGGCTCAGCAGGGTGTCACACCTGGAGTCGTGTGGATGCTCCAGGGCATGGTGATGGCAGCCATGAGAGGATTTCCTCAAGTAAGTGACAACACAAGGGCTGGGTGGGGAAGTGTGTGTCCGCTGTAGAAGGGAGGCTGGTGCGAGAAGAAGGGGAAGAGCAGAATGAACCTGAAAACTCAGAATCTAACATTCCTCTGACTTGAAAACTTGCCTTGAGTTATAAGCTTCATGGAAAGCTTTTCCTGTCCTTTTGCTCCTTTGAAAACCAAGTGGTGGTATGGCTGACGGGAATATCAGCTACTTTACTAAGGAGACTGCCAAACAGGGGTCTGGAACTGGAGCACCTGCGTTCCACATCTGGCTTTGCCATTTATGAGCTGTGCAGCTATAGGAGAGTCTCTGAGCCTCCGCATCCTCATCTATAAGATGAAAACAGTAATCACAGAAATATCTACCAGAGAGTCACTGAGAGAAAATGCACAGCCACATAGAAAGACTATCAATAAAGATGTGGCTTTATTGGTTTTCCTTGAATTGGAACTGTAATTTGGTTAAAAAAAAAAAAAAGAGCCATACACTAGTAAACCATGGCACACACTGAAATCATAGTGTAAACCATGCTGGGCAGTAAAGTTCCAAATCGTATAGCAGGTGGCTTTGACACTTCCTGGGTATAAGAAGAGGTACACTTCACGACAACTCTCGGTTTCCATGGGCAAATACGGAGTAACACATTTCTCACTGAAAGCCATAAGGAGAAACTGAAGCTACCCCGAAAGCCATGGTTATTGCTGCTTAAGAAGGATTAAGTACTTAACTAAAAATGGCAGTCCACAGACATAAGGCCACTTCTGCCTTCTTCCTGAGGAGTCACCTCCTCACACTTGGTGCACCAGAACAACTGTGTTTCCACCTAATAGATGGCAAATGAGCTCTCGAGGCTGAAGTCACTGCAAGCAATTCTCAGAGCCCATACAGTTTAAGTCAACATAGGGTTTCAAGACACACAGGGGAGTTCCTCTAGGATAAATAAATTCCCAAACCTACCCTGGCCCTCCCAACCAAGTCTGCACCCAGGGCAGCAGCTACAATTTAAAAATTAACTAGCTGACTGGAATGCTAAATGTGGCCTTGCCAACCTGAAGTTGTTGCCTTTTGTTTTCTTTTCTACTCCCAAGAAAAGAATTGAAGAGAGGTCGGGGCAAGCACAATGCTCAAACTAGCACCACACTTCTCGGCATCCGCTCTGCTAGTGTCTAGGTATTGTCAAGTTTTACCTGTTTATTTACCTGTTTATTGTCAAGTTTTACCTGGCTATTCATAATAACCTCAAAGATTTATGAACATTTCAACTTGAAGACTGACTAGCGTATACGTTCAAAATTTGTGGATTTTAGACCAGTAACTATATGTACCTTACTTATGAGGATCTGTGTTGATTTTAAAATGCAAGCTGGTGGGGGCTATCATTTGCCTAGCTGGCCTCTCTGTAGTGCTTAAAGAGTCAAGCACAGTGTATACACATTTGTTGAATGAAGGCAAACAGCCATCATACACCAGGACCCCTTACCACTGACTTCCTCTGGCACACATCCCTTCCACTCTCCTAGGGCTCTTCCAGAGCTAAAAGTGTGATACAAAAGAAAGCATGCTTTCTTTTCTTCTAGCAGAAGGGAAGCTAAGGTTACAACCTAGTTATAATTTCTTCAGGTCCAGCCTCTTGGGGAAAATATAACTAATCCCTTTTCAGGTAATTAAAAGCATGCAAACAAAATAAAACCCAATCAGCTACGAAGGATTCCCCTTCCTGAAATCTACTTGCCTTCCCTCACTTTTCCTGGCCCCACATGGTTAATGGTGGGTGGCCCTACTGCCTTAGACCCGGAGGTGATAAGTAGCCTAGGGAATGGGGCTGGGGGGTTTCTAGCTCCTCTGCTCCTCAACTCCCACAACCCTACTTTCCAGTGGCAATGTAAAGTGGTAGGAATGAATCTGAGTCATGAGGCTGAACTAACTTGCCCTGGGACCCTAAGTATCACCACGATACTTGGTAGGTTCATATCTTAGGCTAAAGAAAAACAACAGGAAAGTTTTCAAAAGTACAAAATACTGGCAATGTCTTCATTCAGGTTTTAACCTCTGGTCTTCTCCTCCAGGTGGAACGCAAAGGTAACTAACCTGGCTGTCTCTGCTCACTGTAGTGCGCATCCTTCACAGCAGCAGCAGCTAAAAGACTGTTGCCCCAGACTATCTTCTTCCCTGCATGTCTACACTTAAGCTTCCTGGAACTAGCTGGGAAACAGGGCCAGCAGCCCTCTCTTAGCAAAAGAAGAGGTGTCTGCCTAGCAGTTACAACAGTACAGGTGGCTGAAGGGTTTCCTACCACCAACCGAACCTCAGTATCCTCATTTGCCAGATTAGGATAAGACCACCTGTCCTGCCCATCCCCTCAAGCGCTGGGTGACAGAGAGGAGAGGTCCAGCCTTAACCTGACCTAGGAACACAGCTCTCACCCAGGGATCCTTCTGACGGATTCAGGAAGGGGTGTGGAGACTAAAGGTGGCCTTCAGGCCTGTATCTCCTTACCTCTGCCACCTGGCCAGAGAAGGGCAGGGGAGTGGTGCCTCGGCGTGCTGAGGTTCAGGGCCTCTTCATCCAGTCCAGTGATGGTCCAGACGGGACAAGAATGTCATAGATTCCTTTTGTGAGGAGGGACTCCCACCTAGAGCTAACAATATCTGCCTGTCTCCTCAATGCCAGGAGAACACCAAGGCCTTAAAGGGACAGAGACAGACAGCTCACGAAACTTAAAGAGAAAGAGAGGAGCAGAGAGGGAAGGAGCTGCAAGAGAGGTAAAGCAAAGAGGAGAGAGAGCTGTGATGGTCCAAACAGGCAGGGAGAGAAAGGGAAAGTGAGGAGCCGGCAGAGTACAGAGTCAGAAAGGGGACAGACAGACCAAGAAACGAAGGCAGACTGACAGCGTGGGAGTGTCAAGGAAGCAGAGAAGACAAAGGGGATCCTCTGGTCTTTTTAACTGGTCTGGCCTCTTAGAGTCACCCCGTGCCCTCCAAAGGAAAGCCCAGGGCTCCAGGGAAGGAGGAGGCAGGAGCAAGCAGTGGCTGCCCCGGCCCCTCCACCCGGAGCCCTGGCCGCCCATGTCCCAGCCCCGCGGGTCCCCAGTCCCTCCCGGGCCGCTCTCTCACCTGCCAGCGCCAGGATCTGGGCCTTGTGGAGCAACAGCGCGCCCCAGTCGCGGGGTGCGCGCGGGGGGCTCTCGAGCCCGGTGCCCAGCTCCTCCGGGCCCCGGTACACAGCGTACACCTTCTGGTTGTCAAAATCCAGCCGCGAGCGGGGGCTGAAGTCGCGCACGCAAGACACGGGCAGCGCGTAGCAGACGTTGTCCTCCAGGAACCGCACAAAGGCGTACATGGTGGGCGCCGGGGGCGGGCCCGGGCCGCTCGGTCAGCCCGCTGGGCGGGCGCAGAGGTGAGGACCCGGCTGGGGGCGCGAACGGTGCACAGCCAGGCCGCAGGGGGGGCGGCTCCCCGGGACCCGGGCTCCCCCCACTGTTATTGTTCCTGGAAGCACTGCTCTGCCAATCGGCTGCTCTTGCCTGGGCACGGAAAAGGGAGGGAGGGGAGAAAGGGGGGCGAGGGGCGGATGAGGGGGGTTTGGAAGCGCACCGCCACTTGCAAAGTCAGACCCGAGCAATCACAGCCGGAGTGCGATTCAAGTAGGGAGGGGAAAGAGCTGAGAGGTTGCAGTAATAATAATAATAATAATAATAATAATAATAATAATAATAAACAACAACAACAACAGTAACAATAGCATTGCAAGGGAGGGTGCAAAGCACTGACTAAAATTCCGTGCTGTGTCCAGGATCGTACAGCTTCAACAATCACAATCCAAACAAATTGCAGTGCAAGGAAACTGTTGCAAGGAAGGGAGAGTGCGAGGGAATGAATGGGAGGAGGTTGGCTGGGGGGAGTCTTGTTGAATCTTGAAGTGTAAACTTGCACTTCCAAGCAAGCAGAACTTTGGAGTGTTTCAAATTTAGGTACCCTCTTCAGCTCCTTTAGTCCTCCCCTTCCTTTTTTCATTTTTCTTTTCCTTCATCTTCTCCTCCTTCTTCTCCTTCTTCTTTTCTTTCTTCCTTTTTTTATCCCCAAAACTGTCAGCACCCGCCATGGGTAGAGTCAGTCAGGCAGAAACATTCCCTTAGAGCTGCTGCCGAACTAGTTTTGGCCAGAACTGAGACATATCAGGGTTTTCCAGTCGGACCAGCCTGTTGGTGTGGTGTAGGGTTGGTGGAGAGCTGCTTTCACCTTATGGTAGCAGTGACACCCTTTCTCCATTCCGATACCGCTCTGCATCTGAGCAGAGACCACTTGGGAGGAAACCAGCAGTGGAAGCCTCCAGGGACCCTTGGCGAAGACCAGGGACTTCTGGAGTACCTTCAAGAATTCACTAGTGGTACCTCTGTGGAAAAGCAGTCTTTGCTCTAATATTACAGGTAGAACCTTGTCTGACCCCAACCCAAGCCATGCATGCCAGGTAAAAGAGTTTGACTGGTCTCTGCACTTGTAACCTGAGGGGCTGAGCTTTTTATTAGCTATGGCAACTTATATTCCATTTGCCTAGCCTAGACATGATGTTTAGGGGGAACTTAATGAATTTTGGGTGAAGGATAAATAAAAATCCATATCCAACCATCCATTCATTCTTTTATTCAAGCCACCAGTATTCATTGGGTACACACTACATGCCAAATTCTGGCTAGGCACTGGAATTAGAGAGACAAAAAGACAGGACAAAAACCTAGACTTGTGGATCTTGCAGTGTTAGTGTATCAGAACTAACTGAAGTTAGGTTACTGTGTGAATATCACACCTTCCCCCTCTTTAAAACCTTAACAATCTACTCCGGGAGTAGAAAGACACTATAAGTAATGAGATGACAGTGAGAAAAGTGTTCTTATAGAATGTTTAACAGAGGTGGCAGATGCAACTAAATGTCATATTTGATAAAGTCATTTTAATGAATTTGACCAGTAACAAAAAATAAAAGTATACCAACGTGCTAATAGTGATTGAGTTTCTTATATTGTAGGTGATTTTGTTTCCCCTTGTACTCTTACTTTCCTTTTATTCTTTATGTTTATGTTCTTATTACTATTTTTCCACAACGGGGCATTGCTGTACAATCAAAAAACACTGAACATTAAAAGTTAGAACACTATGCTTGCATGTCAGATCAGCTGCACTAATGATGAAGATAAACCAAAATCCCAAAAGTATTTCACTATAATCTGGGGTACACTTTTTTTTTTTTTTCCAGTACCAGGAATCGAACTCACAACTTTGTGCTTGCCGGGCAAGCGTGGTGCCCCTGAGCTAAATCCCCAGCCCCTGGGGTACACTTTATACAGGCGAATACCAGCTATACACATAGCTCCCAGATCCAAATATACAGGTCAGATCAAGTTGCCTTAAACCAACTCTCTGGTACATATACAGAGCCTCGCAGACATGACTCCTAGTCACAGATATTAGTCCTATCTGGCTGCACACACTTGTAGAGAAGAGAGGAGCCACTCTGATTTGTTCCAGATTTATCTTCCTCATTGTGCATTACTCTGACTGATATTAAATGACTTTTTATTTTAAGAATACATTCCTGTGGTGGTCAAGGGGAAGTAATGTGCAACAAGATTTCTGGTAATTCACAAGATGGATCATGCAGAGTTGGATGTATCTAATGAAAGTTCATGAGGCTGTGGACCGTATTTGCAAAATGACTTTAGGTAGCAGCATGCCTAACCTCCTCCACATCTAAGTGAGAGTCATTCCAAAATATGTTACCACCTTCATCTCTCAGTTCCTTCCTGGACACAGTAAACTCCAGAGTATGCCATAAATGAGAGAGCGTGTTTCAGCAGGTCCCCAACCTTTCCTCCCTAAGTACATGGTGACCTAGACTTACCCTGAAAACCAACTCAAATGTCATCTCCTTTGTGAAGCTTTCACCAAGCTCTCTCAAACACCCATAGTTCTCAAGCAGAGGCCAGTCTCCTTCTACTTTATCCCAGACCCTTAATTCTTTCACTAGAATGAGAGTTCTCTGAGGATCTGTGCTAGTAACTTTAGCATCCCAAGTACCTAGCACAAGGCTTGGAGTAAGTGCTTATAGGCAAGAGATATTATAGAGAGATACAAAGACAGCATGAGTAACAAACCGCTTGTGTAGTTTCCCTTAAAAGCCTGTTCCTCGTTTTCAGAATTGGAGCTGAATCCCAACTCTGTTTTTCCCATTCCCAGGTACTCAAAGGCAAAACACAGATTCCATTTTTAAGACAATACATTCATGAACATGTTAATTATCATTGCGCTCCAAAGATTTGAACAAATTCCCAACCCAATACAATGTAAATTATTGTCATAAGGCAGAAGTTTCATGTCCTAAGAACCTCAAAAGAAGAAAAGAACAAATGAGAGAAGTGAATGCCAACAGAGTAAACACAGACTCACAAATATTTTGCATATAGGTCCACAGAATGGAGACAGAATGCCAGGCACAGGGTGCTCGGAGACACCCATGGGCAGCAGCAGAAAGACATTGAGTATCTACTTCCTGTGTGGCTCAAACATTCAGTCTACTGACACAAACACATGAAAAACCTACTCTGTGCCATGCTGTACATTCTCCCTCCGTGAAAACTGAGTGTACAAGTATCTCTTCCTTGACCCAGAGACATAGCCCTGAGCTTTATACACTGCAGAAACTCAAGATGTGTATGATTCATCAATTGACAAGCAAAGATAAGCCCAACATACAGATTCTGGGCTTGAGGATGCAATTAAAAACAGCAAGTTCAACCAAATCTCCTCTTCAACATTCCTGACAAATGGTCATTCACATGCCTTTTATACAGTTTGAATGTCAGGATGTTGATGATCACAGCTTAACTTTCACACACTACTATTTGTTAGAAAGGTCTTCTTTACTGGCACAGAGACAGAACTGTCCGCCTCGCAGCTGGCATCCTAGGTTCACCAAGAGTCTCAAACCAGCACTCCCAATACAGTCAAAGTGAGTGTCCCATGTCCCAGGCATTCATCTGTCTTCTTCCCAGATATCTTCACTGCCTTAACATGTCTCTCCTCACACGACCTGGTCAGTGATGGTAACTGAGATATCTACTTGTCCTCTAAAGCTTATTATAAACTGTGTGTTTCAGGTACTGTGTATACATGCTCTTGATTTCACACTGAATCCTTGAAAAGTCAAGAAGATCAAGACTTATGGCAAAGCTCATGGCTCTGGGAGCTCATGGTCATATTTTCATTTTAGGCGGTTTGCTCTCAAAGGAAGGACTGGAAGGAATGCAGGTCTCAGGAGAAGGAGGCCTGTGATGAGCCTGACCGTCTTGTCCTGCCCCTCCCCTGACTCTGTCTTTCTGTGTGCCAAATGTACTTTGCCTCTCATCCAAGTCATTTTAATGAAGCAGAACATGTACACATCTGGGGCAGCTTTGCAACCGCATCTGTGTCTCCATTGAGCTCTCCTGTTGAGTTTTACAGAGCCTTGGGTTCATGTCAAGCTCTTCTGGTTTAGCCAACTGAAACATGTTCAGTGGCAGCACTGGGACTTATGTTTCACATTACTACATGGAATTCTCAGTGTACTCTGCAAAACTATTTTAAGGAGACCTGTGCTCTGTGAATTTTTAAAGCAATTGGAGCGTGTCTTTTCAACCTCTCTGCTAATGATTGATCACATTTTTTCATGATTTTGCCTTTTTCCTGTGATGTTTGCTTTGACTTTTCAAGTCTGTTCTTTTCATGTTTTTAAAGTCATCTTTAAAGAGTAACTTGGGTTCACCACATAATTATGAAGAAGGTACAGGGAGATTTCCTGTATAATCTCCATCCTGCGTGGCCTTCCTTTTACCAGCATCCCCCATCAGAGTGGTATGTTTGTTACAACTGGAGAACCATTATGGACATATCATTATCACCAGTTGCCTATAGTTCACATTAGTTTTTGTCCTCATTGTCGTACATTCTATAGGTTTGGACAAATGTATGAGACAGGTCCGCCATGATAGCATTATACAGGGCATGTCCGCTGCCCTCAGATCTTTTGTTGTCCACTTATTCAATCATTTCCTTCCCCCTGGCTCTT